ATCTTGGCCTGGTGGACTTCTCAACTCATGGAGCTCCGTCATGTTGGGCAAGTTGGTCATGATTGTAGTAGGCTTTTTTCGAATGTGCCCCATAGTTTTCTGATCAAAGCTGACCATGTGCATCCCCTCTTCTTCCTCCAAAGCGAGAATCTCTTCCCAGCTCCAAAACGAAGGCATCACGCTTCCCAGTTTATTTTTCCCAGGATCCTCCGGAGATTCCAGCAAAAAGCCTGTCTTCACCCTCCCGAGGTCATACTTTATGCGCGCCTCCTCCGCCATGTAGTAGATACCCACTTGTTTGAGGATCAGGGCCGTGTCGTGGTCCGCCAATCGTTGTTCCCCAGCACTGAGGTTTGGTAGTCCAAATCTTCCAGCTCCTCGATCCCGTAGTGGCCGAGGTCCTGGACGCTTGAACCTCATTCTTGACACTGTCCTGCATGGTGGTCCACCAATCACACTCTTGATGGCTCCCTTCCTCGCCAGATTGGCCAGGAAACCCCATAGGCCAGGATTGTGAACATCCTGATCCTTGCCCTTGGTGATGTCCAGGGTGATCACCTCCCAGCCATCCTGTTCCAACCTTCGCCATTCCTCCGCCTTCTCCCCCGCATAGAGGTGTAGCAGAATCTTCTTCGACTGTTGCAGTCGCCTTCGTGTACCTCGATTCCAAGGTAGTGTGCCTGAAGTGGACTCCTGACCCTCCGCCATGTAGCGGAACACTCGGGAAGGCACCTGAGGGAAGCGTCTTTTCCACCACCCCATGATGTCCTCATCCAGGTTCTCCTCATCATTCAGGTCTTCTACCTTCTTTCGTTCCGCCTCCTCGATGTCCGCGATGAGGGCCAATGCATCCGCCTCAGCAACCACCGGGCAGCCATCTCGCAACCACGAGGAGATTTTTCCCCTTTTGGGATGTACCACAACGCAGCCACTGCGGCTCCACTGTAGCTTGTAACCCAGGTCAATCAAGCCCCGAACTGGAACAATAGGCTCAATGCCCCCTTCAACCAGAATGGTACCAGTCACCGGATCTTGTTTGAGCGACACTCGACCATGCGCCAAATCCACCGGCGCCAATTCAGCCTTCTCCAACTCATCGGGAAGTCCTGTACGGAGAGGATGTGTTGCCCCACCATCCAGTAGTCCCACCTTTAGGTCAGGGTCACCTTCACCACATAGCGAAGCCCCAACTGACTTGCATTTCACGGCCATGAGTTTTGCCCGATGCAGTGACTTCAACAGCGCCGTCGCCTCACCCACCAAGCCTCCCACCGTGTTCACCACTTCATCTTGTGGAGCACCTCCCCCAGGCGTAGACCTCGACCCAGTAGGCGCTTCCTCAACCGTTGCCGTCGTCCCTGGCGAAGTTGAAGCATTGGCCTCCTCCTCCAAGACTCCAGCGCGCTCCGGCTTTTCTGGGCTGTTTGTGTTGCTTCCCCCTTTGACCTTCGCCACCTTGACCGCCTCTTCTCCCTTCCCCTCCTTCTTCAAGAACGGGCAGGCTGTGCGGCTGTGGTTCAAGCCAGAGCAATGAAAGCACCTGTTGTCCTTGGGACTCAATCGATGGTGCTTGAACTTGCACCGATCGCCACGCCGACACCCTTTTTCGGTCATCCAAAACCTGCAGGTGTCTTTGTCACCGGCGACATTCTCACGTTGTTCCCCCACCGAAGGACTCGTCCAGGACATGGATGAAGTTCCAGAAGTAGGATTGGTGGCCACTGCCTTCAATGACGGACCCTTTCCCTGTCCCACTCCAGTTCCTGATCCCATCGCTAGCTCTTCCGCCTCCGCTTGTAGGAACTCCGCAAAGATCTTGAGGTTGTCCAACGTAGGCCTGGTGTCGATCAGCAACTGCTGTCTGCTCGTCGCCAGTCGATAGGCCACCTGACCTCCAGACTTCGCCAAATGGTCTGAAGCCTTCACCAACACCCCTGCCAGGACCACTGGATCCGGAAGAAGCACACCTAACTCCTCCGAGCGATTCCACCAACGCCGCCAGGTTCGAAGGACCTGCACCACGTCGCCCATGTTTTGGGTCAGTTTGAGCTCGGTTAAGTTCTTAATGAGGTTCATCCGTTCACCTTGTCCTCCAGGTTGAAATTTTATGTAGAGGATGAACAATACCTGAGCAACTGTCATTTTGCGAGCCGTGATGACCTCCGATTTCACAGTGTCAGGCACCGCTTGTAGCAACAGGCTGAGCATCCTTCTTTCGGTCCGAGGCCATTTGTTCGCCTCTTCTGATTGTGCAGGACCAAGACGCAAGCGTTGCAGAGGATCTGCCACCAGCCACGCTTCATAGGCCTGCTCCACATTCTTTAGGGTCAACTGCCACCACTGATTTGCCCCTTGGCTGATCTCCGACACGATGGGCTCCAGGGTAGTCAACCTGTCACCAAACGTCAGCGCCGTGGCATCCAAGCCTAGCACTGGCAATTCCACCGACCGAGCGTTGTCGCCCAGTGATTCCTCAGCTGGCATCCACATGCCATTTGCACTTGATGGGTTTCCATTGGGAAAAATGCCACACACACCATTTCCCCATGGAGGTAGTCCGGGTAGTCCAGGAGGATAAGGCCATGGATATGCTACTGACCACATTGACTATGGGTGCAGTGGTCTTCACATCTCCAGCAGCTTCTCCACCTGGTTGAAGTCGATCACCTTGGACTTTGCTTCCAGGAGCTTCCACTGCCGATTGGAACGACGAGTTCGAGCTCTGTTGCCCCAATTTGCGAACTTCTTCTTGGAATTTCGCTTCGGCCTCCTTCAGACATCGCTCACGAAGACGTTCGACTTGATCGCCGCCATCACGAGGTTGTTGACCTTGTCCTCGAGGATCGCTTGAACGAGCTTGATCATGAAGTTCCCTCATCTTCTCTGCGGACCAGGGATTCAGTGGTGAGCTCTTCACAGAACCTTTTGTCTCTTCGAGAACCCGTTCACGACCACCATTTTCCCGAGGATCAACTCCCCCAGGTCCCTTCACCGATACACCTCCTTCAGGTAGTTCTTCTCGACGTCCTTGAGGCGCCACCGGCAACTGGTCTGCAGAAATTCCCGTCCCCCACATTCCAGGGTACGGCTGTTCCAAACCTGCGAGCATCCCCCAAGCTTGTTCTTGCACCGGTTGGAGTAGAGAAGTCATGCCTCCACCACCATCGCGCCCTCCAGCTTGTCCAGGATCGGCTGGTGCAGGTAGAGCTGGTTGTAGCCCACCCACCATAGGCACCTGTGGAAAGGTTGGCAAAGGCGGAACCATCGGCATGAACACCTGCGGAGGGCCACGAGGCCCCAGTTCTCGATGATCTTCTGGCGTAGGTAGTGCCCTTTGTTCTTCCACCTGTCTTCTCTCCGCCGGCGTATTTGTCACCGCAGCATAGGATGTTCTCTTCATGGATGGTGTCATCGTTCGGCTCGGCTCCAAGCTCTGTGCCCTTCGAGGCTGATCCCTCGCGGCTTCCAGCATGGCGTCCAGCTGTTCATCAGCCGTTGGTGTTTTCGATCTTCTTCTCCGAAGCGTCGTCGATGTCATGGCTTCACACGGTTGGGCTCATAACCCATGGGAGTGGCGTCACGTTCGTGTGTGCGGCCCTTTTCTTGAGCCAAACGTTGTGGCGGTTTTTCGCCAGGTTGTTTTGTGGGTCTCACGTGGTCCATGCATTTCGGCCGACTCACGAATATAAATAATCTATAATATATATATATATATAAGTACCATCCATGGAGTCTTTGGGGCCTCCCCGTCCCAAAGGGCCGGAGTTCTGGGGCGATCTGGGGCAGCGACGCGATGCTTTCGTGGGGAGCTGCCACCAGGAGCCTTACTAGTAGTAACAAGAAGCTATTAGTAACAAGTGCCACGCTAGTAGTAACAGGTGCCTTACTAGTAGTAACAAGAAGCTATTAGTAACAAGTGGACTTTCGTTGACCTACCTGTTTCAGGTAAAGCTACTTGGTGGACCACACCTCCAGGTTTTGATAGGACCCATCCCCAAATGACCAACATTCCGCTGACATCACTCTTTCTCGTTTGTTTGCAATGATCCTTCTTCATCAGACCAAGACCATTGATCATACCATATCAAACTTGTTCTTTTTGGGGTCATGTGCTATGTTGTAAGATACGAACTATGATATATGAAACTGCGGATCATATTTTATGTCCTTCATCTTCGGAACCTCTGATCAAAGAAGAACTGTACATGATAGTGGCAGCCATGTGGATCCTGAATTGCTCAAGACATTTTTCAAGGTTCCTGAGGGGTCAGGGCCTCTCCAAGGAAAACAGAGGACCAGTCAGGGATCTGGGATCTGGGGGAATGGGTTCGGGTCTCGGATCATGCATTTGATGCAAGAGCAGAACGGTCGCATGTGGTTCGCTATCAAAAGGACAGTCAATTGCGGTCAGCTCTACACGTAAGTGCAACACCACATCAAGCCGCCTTCTTTTCTGCAGAAGAAAAATTACTAAGTTCATGTGGCAACCTCTTAAGAGTGAGGTTCCAAGGGGAACATCCTGGGTTTCACAGGGGGGAACTTCCCGTTGTGTCGTGTGCCGGAAGGTTTGTCCTGTAGGGTGCCGACTTTGGTAAACAGTCAGACATTTTTGAGTGCTTTTGATCAAGATCAAGTTCTTCAACCCCTCAAAAGAATAGAGTTTCTTAATGAAGGATGTATATAGAGACATATGTGAAATATCACTCAGTATATCATCTCCTGACCCGGGGGTAGGAGCAAGGATGCTACTAGGGGCTCCTGGCATCGCTACTAGGAGCAAAGAAGCTACTAGGGGCTCCTGGCCTTACTACTAGGAACAAGAAGCTATTAGACACAAGAAATAAATATAAATAAGTAAATCAGAATTAAGTGAAACAAGAAGCTACTAGGACCCATTTGTGACCCTGTACTTCCACCGATCTCAGTTCACCGTGCCAAGAGAAGAGAAGACCGTGCCGATGGTCACCGATGTCTCTGTCTGCGCATGGGGTGCTCCGTAGGTCCAGAAGAACCGCGGGGGCGGGGCCAACAACTTGCCTGGGGTGCGGGTCCTCAGGTGCCGCCCTCACGGCCATCCCACCGTGTTTAGATGTGAAGGGAGTCAAAATGAGTCAGACAACAATCCTGGAGGCGCCCCGAAACGAAACGGGAAACCCAAAACTGGAATAAGACGTATACGGCTCTTCATCTTGTGGAAAACACCCCCCTTGAAAGGCGGTCTTTCAATCCTGTAGACCGCTCCTTTGCGTGGCCCACATGGTCTTTCAACCGGGACCCTGCTTGAGCACCGAACATGGTTTATAGACCACCGACTACGAGGCGAATTGCGTCCAGGAGGTCAACCTGCGATGACCGCCAGAGAGTCAGCTCCATGGCGAATCCTTTTGTGACATGTGGGATTCGCCATGTGGGACTTATTAATAAGTAACATGTGTTATATATTATAATTATATATATACATTCCTTATATCATGCCTTGAAATGTGGGGCACGCCATCTTACTGTACTTACTCCCAACGGGACTGTCACAATTGCTCGATCGGGCGGATTTCGGAGTCCATCTAGGTGGCAGTCCCGGCCGTGTTTGGGATCTACACCCTGAAGCGGATGGCGCCACCGATAGAACATGGTCCTTTCGGGGCCAAGCCGTGGACGGGTCATCCTTCCTCGGTGCGAACGGAGCGCCACCACGGCACGAAAGACGGACTCGCTGTTCACGGCGTCAGGTGGACTCGGCTTACCGGAACCGAAGCGTGGAGGAGAACTTAAAGCTCTTCCGAGAGAGACCTGGTTGTCAGGAATGAAACGGACAGGTGAAGGAGCAGAATTCATGTCCAGAGGAGACTCAGAACTTAAGATCCCTTGACATGTTCAGCACCACCCAGTTTGGGTGGTCTTTTGGATCCCGTGACCATGGATTTACAATCCAAGAACTATCCCTGGGCTGGGTCTAAATCAATGCGAGCCCTTTCTGTTTTCCAGCTTCCCACGAATATTGGCTCCCAGTGGCCCGGTGGGAAGGGGAAGAGACCATCGGTAGCCAAGGTAGATGCGAACCCTACGAGGTGCAAGGCATTCTTTCCTTGGGCTTTCGAATTGGGTGAAACAAGTATACTTACAACACCAATGTCTTGTTCCTTCCACTCGAAATAACTTGAACTTTATCCTTCAGCTGAACTTTGATGGTTCTTGGAGTCCTTCGAGGTCCCATCAATAAGCTTGCAAAGCCAACCACAATGTACAAATATGTTTCTTCTTGAAAGTACCCTAAGGGCCAAGACAACCCCTGGGACCTCAAAACTTAGGGATTTGAGACCCAATTCCCTCCAATGGAGGGAGCATGGCCCTCAGGGTATATATATATATAGTATATTTATATTCGCATACACATACCATTTGGAATAGTTTTGAGAGAGACTCCCATGTTTCAGATGTTGACGTATCCGCCAAGGATGCAAGAGGGCAAGCACGCAGAGGGTGCCTTGGAACTCTTCGACTGAACACCTGTTTTTTGCCCAGAAACACCGTCAGGGACGCAGTTTTCGGTCCAACATACGGCACATTTCGGTGTGGTTTATGGCGGGGCCGTCTTGCAGTCCTGGATTCGCCGAACCTGCAACATATATATATATATATAATATGAGTGATGAAACGTTGAGTCCCCAGAAGGTGATGCACCAAAAGGGAACCAGCATGTCCTAAGCCAAGCCATGCGGTTGCAGTGAACCCCCGTTAACACATTGTTACTGGTACTTCCAAAAGTGTTCTAATGATCAATGAGTTAATCCCCTGTGCTATGTGCCTCTGAAAATAGAATGTGCACTACTGCTACATATCAGGAGACTTTGTGCGGTTCATGCGCACCGTACTTCAGGAACGATCAAATAAGATTCGTTTGGTATCATAGCACACCCCACCAAGCCCTAAAAGTCTGTGTGTGTGGCCAATAGATGACGACAATATATGTATATGTATATGTATATATGTAACTATGTGTTACCTGTCACTGACTTCTTTATCATTCCCAGACACTCCATGATAGCATATGATGGCAAAAGACTCCCGCTTAGGCCAGGGGTGGTTGATTTCAGGGTTCAATGTAGGTACAGTGGGTTCAGAGTAGATGGCACAAACCCTCAATGTGTTGGATGGGGACCACCAATCTTGGGGATTGTGCATGATTGTGCCATCTACTCTCCATTCACTGTATATACATGCACTAGCCTTCAAAGACCATTAAAAGACCTGGTTTTGTTGTCCAAAATCCTTAGTAAGTAAAAGGGTTCTTTGGTTCAAGACAAGTAAAAGCAAGGTTGTTGGAATCCTAGGGTATATTCCAGTCCCATGAGTGTCTGGGATTGGTATGTTCTCTCTCAGCTTTGACTGGGACCCTTAGATTCCATGTTTTTGCCTTCCAGTCAAAGCAGAAGGGTGGTGCGTCGGTCGTTCCGTGAACGATGGGTCCAAAGTAACTCAAAGGAGCTCTGGAACAAAAGGCACTGCTCCATGTTGTTTGGGGCTCTAAATAGATCTGCTTCGAAGGTGTTTGAGATGAGTTCCATGATAGTCCATTCCTATACCATTTGAGCTCCGTCCTTAAAAGGTCGGAACCAAAAGCGTTATGTCGGTAGGTCTTACATTGAGCGTACACTGAAAACCGATGAGGAACCCCCCCGATGTACGACAGAGACCCCCCCGCACCTGTTCGAAATGCCAGGTCTGAGAGATGCGAAACAGGCTCAAACCGTGCCTAGCAGTGCCTTCAGTACCGCCTCAGGAAGTATGCTCTTACGAGCGAAGATCGACATGAAGCACCCCAACATGAACATGAGGGATCCGCCCATGCCACCTGGTGCAATCAGAACAGGTCCGAACAGGGCATCGACGGCATGTGGGCGGAACAGGGGGAGGCCTTTCCCAGGAAAGACACGTGGATCACCTGCAAAAGCTCTTTGCGGGGAGGGGAGGGGATTGGGACGCCCCACTAGACAAGAACAGGTGCATGGAAAGTTTGGTCGTTCAATGTTGACTATTTTTCAGAAAAACTGTTCAGGAGTCACAAGTTGTACGGCGGCTGCGGCAAGTAACCGCCATGGATTTGAGGCAGACGGCTTGTTAGATAAATTGCTAACTATACAGATAGAACTAAAAGGTATGCAAACAACGGCGGGCTAGCCAATCAGCCACCACGGCCGACATGAGGGGGGTTTCTATAAGGATTTAAGGATTTGGGGGTTTTACCGGGTTGCCCATTTTGTACACTCTCTCCCAAATGGTAGTAGCTCTCCGTGTCCCAGAGTCCCAACCTAATCCAACCACCGAACCGACCAAGACCACCAGGGGCGTTCTGGTTGGGAAACCCTGGTGACGTTGGGCCATGTGGCTTCTGCCGCTTCAACGGCCTCGTTTCGTTCTTCGAGACGGCCTCGTTTCGGTAACTGTAACTGTTGTCCGAGGTATCGCATCCGCTTCAGTCATCACCACCGCAGTGGAGATCAATGGAAGGCACGAGTCGTGGAGTCGTGTTTCGCCACCGAGATGGGCGGCTGAAGAGCCACGTTGGTTCATGGGGCTGAAGACGAAGAGGTGCCTGTGTGCGCTTTCGAGCCTGGGTGCTGGCGCCGCTGCTATGGTGCCCCCACAATGTTTTTTGCTATTTGGGGTCTGTGTTGTGTACATACAATTATGGTTTGGCGGTGTTTGGTGGCCGGTAGGTTGATCTTTTGTAAGGACTAGCCACATACATCATTAGACATCGAGAGTTGAGCAATGCATATCACGGCAATCCTGGGCTTGATCACTCTTGATCAACGGCTATCATACTCCCTACCTTATCATAGCTGGTGCTTACCAACGAGCCCAGGGAACTTTCCGGCACAGGGGGCCCTTTCAACAACGCCACAGGGTCATCGTTGGAGCGGAGCTGCACTCGGCAGCCGTGGCCGGCCTTTCCGGGGAAGACCAGGTCTATCCCATCTACGACTTTGCGCATGGCAACGAAGATGCCATCGAAGGGGTGACGCACTCCATTTGTGCCCTGGATTGACCCTGGTTGACCTCTGAACAAGGTGCAGTGTGTATGGTAGGATGTCAGGCTACCCATGGGTTGGAAGTGTTGGGAATTGACATACTGTACCACACTTACAACCAGATGGCAAAGAACACCCAGAGATATTTGCGCGGTTAATTGCAATATCAATGAAACGGTTTTTCAACAAGTGCTGCAACTTGCAGTCCCGTCATCAATGTTGCTTTCACCCATGGAATGTAACATAGGATTGAAAAGCCAAAGCGGTGGGTTTCTTCTGCTAGTTTTCGAGTGATTCCCACTGCTACTGGGCACATTGTACAAGGCACTGGATGTGAATGGTGGGACATCTTCGTGCTTTTTCAACCCGGGACGCTCGACCTCGCGTTTCGAATCGGTCGACGCCCCGGGACTGACGCCGAGGTACATTGGAGTTCGAGAATCACCGAGCGTTATATGATTGGTTCCTGGAAACTTTGCGAAAGAACACATGTTTGAAGACGTGTCATCAGATCTGCTAAAAAGAGATCAACGACGGTCATCTGAAGGGATCAGAGGCTGTGTGCTGTTATGTTGATTGGAAGATTCCATGTCGATGTACCCCTACAAACTGGATGCTTTCGCATTTGCTCTATCAAACCGACGCAAGCGCCACGTAGCTGGCTCTCACGAGGACAACTGCACGATCGTACCCAGCAGGCCTTACCAGAAACCTGGCAGAAATGAGGAGTGGAGTGCAAGTGAACCCTCAGTTCAAGACAAAGTCACCCTTTTATAGGTTGCAAAAGGATTGCAACAGGGGCTGGATTACTCCCAGTGTGGAGCAACTGGGCACCAACCATCCCCTGTACCTGTTCATAGGGTCACCCAGACAATTGTCCAGGGAGGCGCAGAACTGGGACTTCACTTGTGTAGGGAGTCATATCCCAGACACTCCATTGGACTGGCATATTTACCTACATCGGGGTGGTTGAGCCGGGCATACATTGCATATTATATACGGAGTGCCTGGGTATTTGTTCATACTGCATGGGCACAGACAACCGTAACATCGATAACGCTGTTTCTTCGTTTTACAGGTTTTTCTCCTGCCATTAAGGCAGAGGACATCTTTTCTCGAAGCTTTTTTCTCAGAAGGTTTTTGGCTCAACAGCTGGAAGAATACAATCTCTGCTCACAGAACACATTGGGATCCCCGTGAAAGTTTACAAAATCAGTGATCCTGGGATGACTATGGGGGTGGATTCTGATAAGAGACCATGCAACATTTGCGGAGATACATTTGGTGAGACCTCAGGAAAGAGGAGTACAGTATCGTCAAAAATGAGCAGGACCGGAGGTGACAGGATGGAGAACTAGGTCTCTAGCTACGTTTGACAGAGTAGCCGGGAAACAAGATATCAAAAGAATTCAAGAGAAGCAGTTTTATCATGTTTTCCCCTAGCATGCAATCGATTGGACACCTCTCCCGGCAACCTCTGACTTTGCGACCTGCGCCCATCTCCGAGGAAGGAATTTGCACGACTGGAGGTGCAGGGTGCTGTGACCTCGAAGAGAAAATTGCTTCGCTTGGTCAAGGAACGGTCGATCGGTCGCTCGCGCCGGGCGCTCACAACCGCCGGGCGCTCCAGATTCGGGTCGACCGGATTTCACGCGCACGCTTGGTTCTTTCTTTTGCAGTGGGGAGATGGTTGTCGAGGTCAATCTACTGGTACGATCTCAAGGAATTTTAATGGCAAGTGTCAAGTGTGTTATTACGAAAGCCAGCCTTCGTAGAAGGCGCCAGCTGAGTTGTGCTTGGCGAACGAAGTGAGTAAGTAGGGGGTCTGGGGGGGTGGCCCGAGAAAGTACCACGTAAACTCGAAATTAGGTGGGGGAGAGGGGTGTGCGGAAGTAAGGTTTTTGAGGTTGAGTTTTTGTGATTTTTGAGGGGGTGGTGATGCAAGAAATGCAGTTTTTCACCATTTGCATCATCTGAATGGTAAGGTGTAGTTTTACAGAGGCCGATGTGTTGTAGCTTCGTGCAGCTGTGAATGCATAACCTTCTTACACCTATATAAGTTCAAAGCACTAATGCTGAGTCTTCAAATCTGTGGATTGCTGCACATTTCTCAAGGTCATCCAGCGGTTGACGGAAAGGGAAATTGAAGTGCTATACCTGGCAACTGAATTGTAGCTACCCTGGGCCCGTATCAATGCTATGTTGCTATACCTCTTACACACCTATATAAGTTCAAAGCACGAATGAGACTTCAAAGCGGTGGAGTGCTCGTTGACAAAGCTCTGGCTTTCGTTTTGCGGCTTCTCAGGTGATCATGCTGTTCTCTTGTTTTTTGTGAAAATCATGATGCAGTCTCCTTCAAACAGCGCGACGTTCACTGCTCATGTAATTTGAGAATTATTATTATGGTTCTGGACTGAATCGTTGTTTGCGAGTTCCCAGCACTGGGATGTTCCGTGAATCTAACAGTAAAGATGTGTTACCTGTTCTTTTTGCTCACCAAATTCCATGCCAGCTGTTTATGATCCTATATTCACCATTTGGTCACAAGTGCAAGCTTTGTTTGCAAACCTAAAACTATCTTGGCAAGAGGCAAGAGACCCCAAACAGTGTGTGTGTGTGTGAGGTCCAGAGGTGTGTAGCAGCAGAAAGTCTAGAGATCTAGACGCATTGGGGTCCAGAGAGGTGATGAAGGTGGAGATCGTGGTGAAGGTGGTGGTGGTGAGTGTGAGAGTGAGAGTGAGAGTGGGTGTGAGTGTGAGTGTGGATGTGAATCTGAATGTGAATGTGCGTGTGAGTGAGGGTGAGTGTGAGCATGAGCGTGAGCGCCACGAAATCTGCACGCCGAGGTTCACAAAGCGCTGCACCTGCCACGAAATTTGCACTCCGGGGTTCACAAAGTGTTGCGCCTGCCACGAAATCTGCACTTCGAGGTTCAAATCCCCTAGTGTGACCACACTGTTTGGGGGGAACCGCAAGAAAAAACATGCCAACGCCCCCCCTCAACCAGCCGACCCTTCACTGGAGGAGGGACACGTCACCGGCTGGGATGACCCGCGGCTGCTGACCATCCGGGGCATCCGCCGGCGCGGTGTGCGGCCGCAGGGGATCAAACGCATGGCAGACGGCGCAGCTGGGCAGATCGGAGGGACGTGGTGCCATTCGGTTTGGCGCGGCCGCCGCGTGGAAAGTGCGTGGTGCCACGTGGTAGGATGTGATTTGCCACAGAGCTGTGTGTTTTCCAGGTGCAGGATATTTTGCATGTTCAGCGGCATGTGCAATGTATGAGGGGTCCAAGAGTTCTGGGCAAGTCTAGTGATGATGGTGCATGGAGTGGTGTGAACAGTTTAGGCTAGAAGATGAACATGGCACATGATATCACATACAGTTGATGTTTTCTGGAAAGCCCAAATGACAAAATGTAAGTTCAACCATGTTCAACCCCTATAAAGGAGAAACACTCCAATCAGAATCCTGCTTCCCACAGAGACAATGGAAGGACGCCGATTATGACTTACCAGAATATAGGTTGTATAGGCTCCATTCTTCAGCATTTGACCTACTGTACTGTATAATTTGGTTCAATCAGTTCAAACTCAAAAGTTGTCCAAGGGGGCCCAAACTACGGAAGGCCAATGGCCCTGGGTTCGTCCATCTCCACATTCCAGCGTCACCTTTACAGCAGCGAAATCCTCAGGTGGGTGTCTCAGACCGAAACAGCACGACTCCTTTCGAGTTTGTGGAGGCACTGATTGACTGGGCGGCTTAACATCTGGGTGAGGGTTTGAGGTGAATCTTCCTTGGTTTGTTGGTCCTAGGACTGACTTGAGTCTTTGGGATGTGTTTGGATAATACGGTAAGGGACCGTGGTGTTTGATGCGGTAGCGATGCGATGTTTTTGTACCCAGAATCTCGTGACGTTGAACCCCAGAACGATTGGACGACTGGAGTTGAACGATGTTAAACGACTAGACGTACAGCCATGGCGTTTTTGTTGTCCGGTGGTGTTGAATGGACTCGGATGCTGACTTGGACTTGGATGCTCTTCGCTGCTGAGAGGCCATGCAAGGCACCTGATGGCACCGCAGTTTTCTTGATACATTCTCTGAAATAATCATGGAAGTGGATGAAAGCAACTGTTTATAGAGGAAAATGGTCATCCAGGGGGCCATGTTCCCCTTCCATGATTGTTCCAGGAAGTGCAAGCCAGTGTAAACGTTGTCCTCCTTGTGGTTTGAACTCAAGTTCATGCTTGGATTGTTTTTGACTCTGAGAAATGGGTTCAATATGTTGCGTTCAATGGGTTCCTCCCAGAGAGCCATAAACAGAAAAGGCACAGATACGCACAGGTCTTGAGGGTCCAAACCACTGCTATGCAGGGTCAACGTCCTGCAAAGGAGTTCCAATGATCACATGGCGATGCACACCAGGAACACATGTGTGCCATCCACTTTTGCTCAACTGACAAGACTGTTTGCTACAAAAGCTCAACAGTTATGCGGACCAAGTTGGTTAGGACGTTTGTTTTGTTTTGTTTTGTTTTGAGGTGGGGAATCATGAACATGTCCGGAATTTAAGTTGTCCCTACCTTTGCTTGACCACACAAATGGACATCTTCAAAAGATTTGCCTGTGGATTACTCGATCTCCCTCGACCTTTTGTACTGGCGCACTAGTTCAATTGGATGTTGGAGGTCCATCCTACTATATACTAGCTTCTTGTTACGTTCGTAGCTTCTGGCCTCCAACCGAACAGAGCGATGGCCGAGCAAAACGCGTCCATCACTCGCAGGAATGCTGGCGAGAAGACTTGGAACCCATCAGCAAGCGACGGCTCGCCGTTTTGGATCCTTTGGAGGTCGTGACTGGGCCGCACAGCCACCCGAGACGCTCGAGCCACTCGACCACGAGCCATGAGCTCCAGTGTGCGCGGGACCGCGGTGTCTCGCGCGGGACTTCGCGCGGGCAGAGGAGATCATTGACTACGAGAAGGAGGAACTCATTGAGGGCATCACAGATTTGCCTGAGCAATCTGCCAGCAGCCAGCCGAGCTGCGCACGCACCTTGAGCACCTAAGCTTGGCAGAGCAAGTTGGGCAGAGGCAGAGAGGGCGCTTTTGAGTGATGGCGATGCCTTTGACAGCCAGCCATGTGCTTACTGTAAAGTCGAATCATTTGGGAGCTGGTAGTGAATCCACTATGCAATATAGGACATGCAAGAATAGACACCGCCTTGAGTCGTCTCGGAAGCTGTTTTGTCCTGGAACCAGCCAATTGTATCATTGTAGTACATATACGTATTACATATATATATATACATATTTGTCCTGCTGCGTTAGGTGGGATCCTGAACTTAATAAGGGAAGCTTTTGAAATACAAAGTTATGTGCGTTGACTCAATGTTCTACTTGGGAGAGGCTTGCCTATCATGGTGGGATTTTGCTTTTGCATGCCGATTTGAAGGGACTGCAGAATGAACCGACTTTAGAATCGAATCGAAGCGTCTCAAAGACTCTTGTGACCCCAACATGTATTGTAAGTATATTTATACATACATATGAGGTACAATACTTGCTTAGATGCCATAATTCAGTCTGTGAAGGGAGACGTGGGGGTTGGAACCTGCGATTAAGTATTGATCTTGGTTTCAACACTATATAATACAACTATATACATATATGTACAATGTATATATATATACAGTATATACAATCATGCTATGGCATCATTGAGACATAATCAAGCAGATTTGCTTGGGTTCTTCAGGCAACTCCCACGAAACGCAACCCTTTGAAGACCTTCAAAGCATGTTTGCAGACCCAGTACAGGTCAGGCGAAGCTTGGGAGCTTCGTTGCTGTCCACACCGAAGCTTCGGGGAACCAGGGCTCCACGCGGCCGCGGCCCAGGCTTTTCCAAGAAGATCTTCATCGAGCAAAGTGATTACCAGGAGTGACAACTCAACTCTCGGCATCTTTTCCTCCAAATCCATCAGAGATGTAGTACTTCGTTCCACCATTTTCCGCCAAGGGATCTCAAGGCTCTTCATCAAGTACCATCTATGACCATGCCAAGTTCATTGGTTGTGATATGACTACCCTGCATGAATGCGATAAATGGCTGGTTGTAGCCGTCCAGTTATCATATCATATCATATCGCTATGAAATTGGTTGAAGAAACATGACTTGTTCGAGTGCATGTGGTTCACACAGTCCAGGGATTTGGTTTCTGGCGCTGATGTAGTTCACCAATGGGGACCAATTGTTGGTCAACACTAGCCAACGGATGAATGGCGCCCACAAGTGGGAGGGAGATACTGGCAGCAAAGATCAGGTTTTTTCTGAATGTGAAGAGTGCGACTTGACGTGTCGTTGAAGGTGTTTCAGAGGATCTCCCATCCACCACATCCCTGCTGACCAGTGAATTCACTATATAATGGTGTGTGTGTGTGGTTTCACAGTGCTTGTTGAACAAATGCAACATTCCCACACACATGGCGTGCAAGATCTCATACACAGACTCCCCGCATGGTTTCAGTCCAAACACCACCTCCATCCGCTCCTTCGGCAGAGTGTCGGATCCAGGAGAATCCGCCTGAGGGTTACTTCCGCTTGGGAGCAATTGGAAGTGAAGTCAAGCTCAGACATTCCTACGCCCCTTGCGCTGCAGCGCACGGACGGTGGGTGCGCAGCAGCTTCAGCACGGACCGATGAATGTCGACGGCATCGGTTTTTGGTGAAGGGGGGCAAAAGGATTGACCTGAGAACCTCCCTGGCGGGCGATTTCTTGGGTGAGCTAGTACTATAAGTGAACTTCACCTCTTCTGCAGGGGGAGGTACTTGTAGAACAACAGCCCAACATGGAGTATGTTTGGGATTGAAGGACATGGGCCTGACACGAGACTCAGCCGGTTTTGAGGGTCCGGACCCCGAGACTGGAGGGTCCAACCAATGGAGGGTCTTGGATTCTTAGGGCACCAATATGAACCTCATTGAACCTCCCAAGCACTTAGCAGATCTAACAAGGGCCCGTTGACCTGGTGCCGATCAAGTGACCCGGCCCAGCTCGACGAGCACAGCACGGTCTACAGCCGAGCACGCGACGTTTTGTTTTTGCGCCCTGAAAGTGGTTCCGGCCCAACCTACTAGCGATGGCCTCCAACCTAATAACAATGGCAAATTCTGTTGCTTTTTCACCACCTCTCTTTTGAAAGCAGTTCTGACTGACCACCTCGGCCAAGTGGGATCCAATTAGGGGTCCCGGATGTCCGTCTTATGGGCATGGGCTATGGTCATATAGGTTTATGCTGGAGGTGTGCACTTGGGCTGGCCACAAAGCATGGCGTTTGATTGTACCGTATTGTAGCTGCTGCAAAACCTTTGCCTTTGGAGTTGGTAAGAGATCCATGCCAAGGTGAGAAAGTTAAAACCTAGGGGAAAACTTGATTGAAGCCACCAAACTTGGTGAAAGCGCAAAGGTCTCAGTCTGACTGGACAGCCTGCTACCTCACCGTATGCCCATCGGCTTTGTCGTGGTTGATTGCTTGTCACAAGCTGTTGTGTGACACCTGGCAGAGTTGCCGATGTGTTTGGGTGTTTCGTTGAATTTCAAGTTACAAGGTGTTTTGGAAACTGCCGCTAAAAGTAAATGTGGACTGGCACACGATTACTTTGCCCGGCTAGGCACACAGAGCGAGAGGAGACCAATCGTGGTTGGCCTAACACGGACATGTCAAGACAACTCAACCTAGTAGCGTCCTTGCTCCTAGTAGCGATGACCCCCCCCAAAAAAAGCATTAAAGCTGTAAACCGGTCTTCACTGCTGAGCAAGCACCATGGTCCATTGAACGCCTCCTTTGTGCATGTGTTGTTTGTTTGTTTAGTTGGTAAGCCGGTGGTTCACGAATTCACCTGCAGGGGAGGCGAAGTCTCACCTTGCTTCTCAGCTTGGACTTCGCCGCCTTGGCCCAGGTCATCAAGTTGGTGGAGGTGGTTAAAGACTCCAGTGGAACCTTGGAGAGTTCAGCAGCAATGAAAAAACATTGAACAAGTCCAAGCACTTGTTGGGGTACATTTGGTTATTTTCAATGGCACGCTACCCCGACAACATGGAGCTCAAAGAGAAGCGACACAAACAAACGAAACAACAAAAAAGAAACAAAGCTTTGGTGCCACCCAACTGGAGCAAAAAGCAAACACCACAATCAATTTTCATGTGGCTTTTCTCGGTTTTAAGTGACTGATCTCAGGACGCGTGGTGAAGCTGAAATGCAGCCGGTCGCTCAGGAGCGAGGTGTTGTTTTGAAGCCACATGACTTTGAGGATAGTTCGGTGTAGGATAGTTGGATGTGTAAGCCACACTGTGTCACAGAGTCGAGTTGTCCTCTTTCCGTTCAAAGTCCAAACATGGATAGTTTCTCTTGGCTGAGGCCTGGGCCTAGACGTATAGTGACCAGCAAGTAAGGATATCTACCTGGAGTCTCAAAGTACCTCAGAAAATGGGTGCAAGTACCGGCAACTGTCTTTTCTATGGAGTCAGGTCCCACTTTCTAGAGCAATTTGGAGGGTCCAGCAATATGTGTGTATACAATATATAATATATCTGTATAATATATATATGTATACAATATATATATGTATACAGTATACAATATAGAATGTATTTATATATATGCAGAGAGAGATAAACTTTGTGCTTTTTGCCTCGCGACTTTGGGTGCAAAAGCACTCCTATCCCGTCAGACCCAAATATATAGAACATGGATGGGTAGAAGTGTCATAAGTATCTTATTGAACGCCAGAACATGACTCTTTCTTGCGATCTGTTCCTTCCGCCCAACCCTTGACCACCTATTGGCCTGACTCACTTGGCCATTCGATCCCTTTCTTCCACGGCACCTTCCACTGCCTCACCTGAGGTCACGACAGTAGCACTCGCGATGTGATGCCGGCAGATCGGAAGCCCAAGGTCATCCATTGGGTGAATGCCAAGGCTTGTGCCTCTCGTGCTCGTGCTACGGGCGGTGGTGGTTGCTGGTTCTACGGCCGGCTGTGGTTGGTCCGATTTGCAGACTAGATGGGCTTTGCTGAATGGCTGCAGTCCAGGCAAAGCACAGAATGATGTGATAGCTCTTTGTGCATTCGTTTGCAAAAGTTTGGTTTGGGGAATAGGGGTTTTGTCTTGCAGAGTGAAATGAACGCACTTCCTTATTACACTCACTTCTTTGCTGTCAGTTGTTTGTCTACATGACATGAGGAGACGCACATTCTAGAAGCCCTAGTGGCAAGAGTGGGCTGAACGATAGTTTGGCATAATAAATTTGTGATGATCATTTGATCGTCATACCAAACTATAAGTCTATAAGTCATTTTGAGTGAGTCTGGTATTCTGGGTCACTCCTGATGTTAAAGGAGTTCTCTTGATATAAGAAATGTTAAATCCCGTTCCTAAACAAGCTGGTTCGACCTGGGATACATTTCAACCGTATGGCGTTGTTCCATGTTTTTTCCCCAATGTGGCCCAGATCCACCTTAATACAGATCAGCAGATGTGCGACAAAACGTGGCGATCTGCACCAAAATCAACTTTGTTCCGTTGAACCAGTGTTAGTTCTTACAGGTTTCGGGAAGAGATCAATCTTGCATTGGCTTCAACTACTCTTTCGAATGTACTTATGACAAAACTGAACCGAACCTCCAGACCAACCCCAACCACCTGAGAAGGAAGTTGGAGCCCTGAGAAGGATGTTGCTTTCTACTATGATTTCGATGGCAACCACCAGGCTGACGGCCAAGAAAGAATTCAGCCAGCTTGGGATCCCAGAGAAGGGACTTCAGTCAACTCTGCTATCAGCAGCTTCCTTCACTTGGATCTTCATCTCTTCATGCGTGAGCTGCCGAAAGAACCGGTGTCACGGTCACGGTCTTTTGGGATTTTGGAAGCTCTCTTTAGTCAGCAAGCAATCCGCCCTCCCTGCCAGGATTGCTTGGACGCAGAGGCCAGGCTTGGCCATTTTTGGGCGATCTTTTGAATTGGATCAGAATGCAGTTAGTCCCCACTTAGACGGTTCATCATATGTCATCATGTTTCAATTTGTGTTGCAGACTGACATGTCTTCATTGCTCCACTGGGTCGGTCGTGCGTGGAGGGTCTTTCAGCAGACATCCTAAGACTCTTTGTGGGACTGATGAATGGATGTGTATTCACAGACACTCCAGCGATGGAATATGTGCCGACCCATTGACCCCCGAAACCACCTCCAAGCATGGCATATACATGTAATGTAGACATATGTAGACTCTTGATTGATAAGACCCTCCCATTTTGGATTGTTAAAAAGCCCTTCTCATGGGGAGTTTTGTCAGTCAAGAGTCTACGTTAGTGTTTGGGATTGGAATACAACGACCGGCCCCATGGGATTAAGTTTCGAGTGTTTCAGTCTCGGGACGGTGTGTTGCTTCGTCCAGCCGTGAAGAAAGTTGCAGTTGTGGGAGCTTGACCAAGATGTTGGGGAGGGAATGGAGGGGGTAGTCCCTTTCTGGCAATTCCCCTTTTTTTCGAACAGGATTGGTGCTCTCCTCTTGCATATATAAGGATAAAGGCCCCGACGCCTGAGTGGGATATGCGGGAATTGAATGGAACGAAGGACCCCGTCCCAAAATGAACACCGGGGCCCACAGCTGGTGCCTCTGGTTCTTTGCATCTTCATTTCCCACCATTCTTCCACCCAATTCCGGAGCAGGAGGTGCAGGTTGGCTCACTGACCACACAAACCTGGCGGGTTGGCCACTGATGTTCATCAATATCAATTGTCGAAGTGTCGTTGGGTCCTATTTGCTTCACTGGCTTTGTATCAGTCATGGGCGATTTTCACGTGGATCACCGTGGGCCGCTGGCCACGACCGCAGGGCCACTCGGTTGTTGGGTCCCGGACCCCACCGATCCATGTGGGGAATACAACCTCACCATGCCACGGATTGGTTTGGGCGACTCACTGAGCTGAACCAAAACGTTTGGATTCTGCAATTAGGTCGAGAGACCTTGTGGAACCTGATCGGTACATGCAGGGCATAGGCTATTTAGTGTTGTTCAAGCTTTCTAGCACTCGCACATCATCAAGCTCCATCATCTCTCAGTTTTCGCCGGAAGAGGCCGCAAGTGTACCGCGTATCCCGCGTATCGAGGTCAGGCTGATCAACCCCCTCTTCCTGCCCATGCCGGACCCGGTGCCCGAGGGCAAAGACTTCTTGTCTTACATCAACCCGGAGGTCGGGGGGGTAACCGTGGAGGCACCCCGGAGGAACCCCGGAGGAACCCCGGAGGCCTGGAGTAAGTAGCCTAGAAGCCAGTCGTTTGGTTCGCTCAAGGTGGCTTTTGCAGCGGGACTGCGACCACGACTCAAAAACTCCTTAAGCTAGGGAAAGGGCCATCAAGGGCCGCTGCCTAGGCGGTTGAGACCCTGATGGGATCAACCAGATGTGAAGACTTTTGAATTGCCTGACTCTACTTACATAAAGGACTACATCAACCAAGTACAGTAGATGGACATACCATGACATACGATCTCTCTCTTCCAACTGTGCCAATTGTTTCCCTGATCTGAAACATCAAAAGCCAAATGCGTATATCCCAAACTAAATGTTGGAAGATCAGTAACAAGAAGCTATTAGTAACAAGTGCCACGCTACTAGTAACAAGTGCCTTACTAGTAGTAACAAGAAGCTATTAGAATTAAATTCTATATACCAAGCTCAACCAGATCTCCCGGTCGACCCTCAACCGGCCCTCGATCGGTTGGATGGCCGGGTCTTCCGGGCTTCTGCCTTGATCGATCCGGGATTTGTGGGTCGGTTCAGTGTGACGTAGCTGTGAGGGTTGGAACTTGAGCTGGCAGTAAAGTAGCCTAATACAGCTAGCTCCCTGAAAATCATGGAAGCGGATGGCACCACCTGTTTGGCTTTTCGGAACATGGTCATCCTCTCCGGGCCATGCCATCCACCGAACTGTGAAGATTCCAGGCAGTGTGGTGTGTAATAGCCTTGGTAGTTCGATTCAAAGACCTCGGTTTCCAGAGCTTGAAATTCTGCCCAGACGCGACTCTGGCACCCTTTGGAGGGATCGGACCCGAATCCTCATGGGACCAAGGGCTGTTTGGAGCGTTTGTGTCCTTTTCTTTTGAGGCCTTTGGTCCTCCCAAAACGACCTCTGGACATCAATCATCCAGAATCTCCAGAAGCACATGTAGACCAATTTAGACACGACTTGACGACTTCTTTTGCTCTCCAACAACAAGTGGGTTGGGGGCTGCCTTCCAACAACCATGGAAGCGCGGACAACATGGTCATTCATGGTCATTCCTTCGGGGCTCAGGACGAGGTCAGAGACTCCCCCGAGGTTACAGGGAGCGCCACTCCTGTTCCATGATTGAAAGGAGGGTTTGTGTTCCTCCTACTCTCTCTTTCTTTCAACAATCATGGGTCTTTCGTATCATGGAACATCATGGAACCATCTAGGTCCAGCGACCCGCTTTGAACCCACAGGCGATGGTGCGCTGCAAGGCCAAGGTGGAGAAGGCTTTAAGCAACTGCGTCCTGGAGGAGACCGAGAGTCCTGGCCCAGTCGATGGTTCCATCAGAGCCCAGTGGAGTAGCATGCCTAGATCGCCTTATTTTGCTATTGGTTGGTTGAATGTGAATGATTTAGAGAGTCGATACCCCCCAAATGTAAATGAACAACATTGAACCAGCAATAGTCAAATGAAGCCTCTACTCTCCTCTATGTCCAAAAAGACATTCATCAAATCATTGTTACTCGTAGCATGATATACATATATAATATACATAGTTTCTCACTCATGGTGTTTTATTGCAGAGGGGTCAATCCTAATCCATTAAAAGGGTACCACTTGTTTTTGTCTAAGTTGTTCCAAGCCGAGCTCCAAGTCAAAGAAGCCCTGGCACACGGGTCGTTTCTCGCACCCAGGGGGGGTTCGGACCAGGATCGCTTCCAATTCGAGCGCCTGGGATACTTTGCACCTTGGCGGTCCGGAGGAGCTATGTCTTCGAACGAGGGCGGTCGGTGGGGGGGATCACTGCCTCTACGTTTGACAGAAGTCTGGAATAATTTGGAGATGTCTTTGGGGGAAAGGCTTCTTGGGGGAAACCAGCTTGAGCAGTGGCCATGGGGAGGAGCGCCAAAGTAGATTCTACAGTACACGGGGTTTGCGTCTCCCCGTGCTTCGTTCACTGTTCAATTTGACACTCAAAACATGTACAGTACATACATATATATATATATATATAACAGTAACATAGTAACATAATAACCTGAAAATATATAGAGAGGAACAATGAGGAACACATTTTGGAACCTCACGTTTACTCAAGATGTTTTTGATTTTTTTTTCAATCCTAATTAGTGAATCTTAGTTCATGTTCCAGACACAGAACACTGACATGAACGTGGAGATCTTGGAGGTTCCAATTATTTGGAACCGGCCTTGTTTTTAAATTGGAAATGACCTCACAGACAGTGACAGAAACCATTCTGAAGATGCACGTCATTGCACATCATTTTCTGTTAGATGTCATCACTCAGTCAGGATGACGCTTGACTCATCTTGACTCTGTTATCACAAAGATGTTTCGCAACATATCTTCAGTCGGTGTTGTTCTTGCTGAGGCCCCTGACTATGATTGCTTCACGGAGCCCAAGAAGCTTTCCTTCAATCGTGTGGTGCCCCTGAAGGAGTCCGCCGATAAGAAGAAGATTGAAGGAAAAGGCCAGCCTGACGGTTTCGGCTATCACCAGAGGAGACCTGTAGAGTCGGGTGCTAGTATAATGATCTAGATGTTTGCTAAGGGTGGGACTACTTGGAATGAGAATGGGTCTGGGTTTCATGTCACTTAGGCGGTCAAGAGAGCCTATGTTGGAGGTGTTTGGGCAACTGAAAACCTGAGAGCCACAAGCCTTATAGCCCTATGGCATCAGATGGAATGGGATACCAACAAAGCTGAGGCTTCGGTTTGGCCTTCCTAAGAATCTGTGGAAATGGTGAGATCATGTTGGATCGGACGCCCGAAGATGTTTTCTGGTCCAAATGGATTCTTTGGGCGTGTCGTTTTCTTCTGCATCTGCTGCGCCGGCTTCGAATGCATTGGCATCATTAGGACGGTCGTTTGGCCATACTGGTCGAAAGGACGGCGACCATTGGGCGTGCCTTGATTTGGTCGCTCGTCGGTCATAGCGCTCAGTCGGACGTCACTCTTTTCATGCAGGGCGGAAGTGGTGACCGGTTTTTTGGGGAGGGGTGACCGGGAACCACTCCAGAGCAACCCAACTTGGAATTCATGGGCGGGTTATGTGTTTTGGTTTTACCTTCGTTCGATCAGTTTGCTCATAGGAGGACATCATGTCACAAGAAGTTTGAACAAAGCAGAAGCCAAAAGCTCTGGGTTAACTCTGATCATATCATCTCCTCATTTTGCATTTTGTATCATGATCTTACACGATATGATCTCCTTTCATCTCATCCTTCTCCAATTCTCCCTGTGTGCAGTCCCTCGTTTGCCAGGCACCGCCAGTCGGAAGGAGGAGCAGCAGAAGCAGATGGCAGAGAAGGAACGGCTCATGAAGATCCCTCCACAGGACCGCGTCGAGCAGAGATGACCGGCTGGAGCGAGTGAGGGAGATGCGGGGAGGCCAGTCGCTGTTTTCGGGGCGAGACGGGTCCTTCATGAAACGAGTTCAGGGGTCATGTAGAGTAATCAACCCTGGAGACGTAATACGATTCTGGCACCGGGGCGGTTGAATAACAGCTTCATTCTTTGTGGGGCAAGCATTGATGGCAAGAGACTTCAGGGTATGATTGTACCATACCTATCGCTGTTCTGAGAAGTGAAGCTACAGTTGCTTTATTGAACAAATGGGAGAGCCGCTGTCCACACCTCACCAGCAAGTAGCGACCAAGTCATCAAGCAGTGACTTTCATGCCAGCGCCACAGCCAAGGATTGAGTTTTCATACCAGTAAATATGGGATGAAAACAAAGTCAATCTGCCAAGGAAAACACCAATCCAACACATAGCCGTCTATGAATCAGAAGACTGTGGCGAATGACAACAGGGTGGTTTGAGCTTTTTGGTTGGTAGGCCACGCTGCTTAGAAAAGTGTATGACTGTATGACTTTTCATGAAAAGATTCAGCTTGCTGTGAATACATATGAAGACTCAACATTCCAAACAGAAAAACATCTAAGAGGACTCTATATTACATCGAGTTTTGCTTGCATCGCAGTCTGTGGGGTTTCAGTTCCGAGGGTGGAACCCATACTCGATGTGAATGTTTTAGTTATTTGTATGTATAGAATCTATATATTAATATTGTATAGATATATTAATTTTACTATTTGCAGTTGTGCTATAGTGGTTCGATCTCAGATAGCCCGAGCCCGTCGGTGCTTTTCAGTTGCCTGGAGGGCCGAGGAGTTCTCACCGGGTCGAAGGGAGTTCCATGTCTTGCCATCAGCCGTGGTCATCGTTTCAGGAGTTCTTCAAGTCCGAGAGAGGCCGAATCGGACAGAGTGGGTGGGCGGGTTTCAGAGATGTGCTTTGGACGGTTTCGGGATCGTTCAGGGTCATCTGACTGGACGACCCTACACTAGACCTGTGGGCTTTCATTGGGTACTCTTTGGATGGTTCTGGTTCGTGTAAGTAGATTTGACAATGTCTCACCAATGGATGATAAGTTGACTTGGCGGTTGTTTTAAAGCGCATGTTGCATTTAATCCAACATGGCTGGGCCTCCACGCCGCCCCGTGTGCTCGTTGAACATGTTGGGTTTTGGGGTCCAGTATGGTCCAAATGTGGTGGTTATTTTATGTTATTTTTGATGTTGGGGCGTACGACATACCACCAATATACAGCATGCTACATGCAGTAAAGAATCCTGTTTGGGCCTAACAATAAGCCCTACTACTACTACTACTACTACTACTACTACTCCTACTCCTACTCCTACTCCTACTCCTACTACTACTCCTACTACTACTACTACTACTACTACTACTACTACTACTACTACTACT